CCCCCCCCGAATTGTAAGAATATTACATTTTTCTAATATGATTTGTTATATTAGAATAATATATAGTATGTGATTCATACTGTTGATCTCTTTTGGTTGGTACAAAGACATAATTAATTGATTGAGAATAATATTAATGTCGAGTTAAAATAAAAGAACAAATATTTACTTTTTGGATGAAATAAGTGGGAAGGAGCGTTTTTTATTTCACGTCTTTGGTTTTTCTATGTTGTATATATAATGTATAGTAGTGCCTTCTATTTTATTAAAACCAATCATTTGACAAAAAATCAGGGGGAAAAAGGAGTATGTGCAACTTAAAATTTCAATTTGATAAACAATCTTAAGCTTGAATCATGTCATTCTAAAGAGATTGATATGGTTTGACAACTGACATAGGTAGAGGTAATTAATTTGGTACATTGAAAATGGGCTAAAAACAAGATAACTGATGTAGCAAACTATGTACACTCGACTTGTGATAAAACCATCATAAATAAAGTACTGTTAAAAAACTAGGATAAATAGTCATACTTGATGTGATATTGCATTAATATTCTACATTAGGTAAATAGATTTACGGTCACTATAAAATATGCATATAAAAAGATTTTAGACGTGAGATATTGATGTTCACTGATTTTCTCAATTTCTTCTCCTATTCTTTTGTTTCTCACAATAGTTTTCCCTTAAAATTTTCTACTATATAATAACATCTGCCTGTTCAATTTATTCTTCGGAACAATGTCTTCTTCAAACGGAAAAGATATTGCATCTTACCGTTTTCATTTGGCATGTGGTGCTTGTCATGCTATGGTTAATGAAACCAATGATTGGGAACCATGTTAGATTCAAGGAATATTTGACCAACCAAACAAATAAATGATTTATCTTTTATTTATCATGACGATATTAAACAAAGCAGCAACAACAACAATGACCCAGTGAAATCCCACTAGTGGGGTCTGAGGAGGGTAGTGTGTACGCAGACCTTACCCCTACCCTGAAGGAGTAGAGAGGCTGTTTCCGAAAGACCCTCGGCTCAAGAAGACAAAAAGACAAAAGAAGACTGTTGAGAAATAACCTTCGCACCTTTGCGCTTTGTTGTATTGCTATTTATAAGATGATACAGAGTACAAGTTATAATCAAACTCTTCAATGAGATAACAATAAGACTCCTACTCTCTATCTAATTGCTGTTAGATACACTCCTATCCAAACCAAACTATAATACATTAACAGGCCCCCTCAAGCTGAACATGGATTAGGAGAAATGTGAAGCTTGTCACGAAGAACTGAGAGGCGGTGAGAAGATAAACCTTTAGTGAGAATATCTGCAAGCTGCATGTCAATAGAGATGTAGCGAACCAATATAGAACCAGCAGCAACAAGCTCTCGAATAAAATAGAAATCAATCTCCAAATGCTTAGTACGAGCATGATAAATGGGATTGGTGTATAGATACAAAGCACTAACATTGTCACATAGCACCAAAGGAGGATCAGAGAGAGGTATATCCAAGTCACGAAGCAGATGTTGGAGCCATGATAATTCAGCTACCGTGTGAGCTAAGGCTCGATATTCAGCTTTAGTGCTAGAGCGAGAAACAGTAGGCTGCTTCTTACAACTCCAAGAAATTAGATTTGGTCCAAGGAAAATAGCAAAACCAGTAGTAGACCTACGAGTATCAGGACATCCAGCTCAATCAGCATCTGAGTATACCGTGAGAGAGAAGTTTGAGGATGACTTCAGGTAAAGGCCAAGAGATATTGTGCCAGCTAGATAACGAAGGATTCGTTTAACGACAATAAGGTGAATGGTACGAGGAGTACTCATGAATTGAGAGACAGTATTTACAGCAAAAGAAATATCAGGCCTAGTTATAGTTAAATACTGCAAAGCACCCACAAAACTACGATATTCCGAAGGATCAGAAAGTAAATCCCCCTCAGAGGCAGATGGTCGAGAACCAGATGTAGGGGAGTGGACAGGCTTGCAACCAAGTAAGGATGCTCGAGAAAGGAGGTCACGAGCATATTTTCTTTGAGATAAATGAAGTCCATTTGATGTTTTTGTAACATGGATACCCAAAAAGTAATGAAGAGGCCCCAGATCATTCATAGAAAATTGAGACTTTAAGATATGAATAAAGCGATTAAGAAGAGTTATATTAGAGCCTGTAACAATAATATCATCTACATAGAAAAGAAGAAGAATATAGTGAGAGTCATGATAAAATACAAATAAGGAAGTATCTGCACGACTATTATAAAAACCATAAGATAGAAGAAATGAGCTAAATCGAGAAAATCATGCACGCAGCTTGTTTAAGCCCATAAAGAGCTTTTTGATTTACAAACATGAGTAGGAAAATTAGGATCTATAAAACCTTGAGGTTGAGACATATAAACCTCTTCATTGAGAAAACCATGTAAAAATGCATTTTTAACATCTAACTGCCTAAGATCCCAGCCGCGAGATAATGCTAAGGAAATCACTAAATGGATAGTAGAGGGACGAACAACTGGACTAAAAGTTTCACTAAAGTCAATGCTTTTTTGTTGATTATAACCCTTTGCGACCAAACGAGCCTTATAACGTTCAAGAGACCCATTGGCCTTTTGTTTGACTCGATAAACCCATTTATTTCCAATTACGTTCATATGTAGATGATAGGGTACAAGAGTCCATGTTTGATTTTTAAGAAGGGCATTGAATTCCTCTACAATTGCATCACGCCATTTATGATCTTTAATTGCAGAGGAAAAACAAGTGGGTTCAATGGGAAGAGACTCAAGGTGAGATGTAAGAAGAGCATATTTGGGATTTGGTTTGTGAGTACCTACCATACTTCTCGTAATCATGGAATGAGAAGAGGAAGGTAGAGATGAGGTAGATGAATTAGATGGCAGAGAATCTATAGTTGTTAAACTTGGATTAGTTGTATCAGTGGAAGATTGAGGCATAGAGGAAGTAGTTGGAGAAGTTGAAAAGGAGGAAGTATGATTATCTATATCCATAATTGGGGCAGGAAAAATATGGGAAGAAGAAGGGGTGACTAAAGGAATATCTTTCGAGCCACAACCTAATGGAAATACATGCTCTATAAATCTAACTCTACGACTAATATAAACTCTCTTTGTAGTTAAATGCATGCACCTGTAACCTTTGTGATTAGGACTATAACCAAGGAAAACACACGCAGCAGATAGAGAAGCTAATTTACGACAGCGATAAGCCTGAAGATTAGGAAAACACAAACAACCAAAAGGACGAAAAAAGGAGTAGTTAGGAGGGGTATGAAAAACCAACTCATATGGTGACTTATTATGTAACGCAGGAGATGGTAATCGATTAATGAGAAAGACAGCAGTAGAAAACGCCTCAACCCAAAGACTATGAGGAGCTGTAGCATGAAAAAGCATTGTGCGTCCCATTTCACTAATGTGTCTATGTTTTCGTTCAGACACGCCATTTTGTTGGGATGTATGAGGGCACAATGCCTGGAATTGAATACCTTGAGTAGAAAGAAGGTTAAGAAATTTGGTGTTAGTGTATTCACCGCCACCATCAGAGCGAAAAGTTTTGATATTAGTAGAAAATTATTTTTCAACTAAAGATTTGAATTTTTGAAAACAATCAAAAACTTCACGTTTAAAGCGCAATGGATAAAACCAGACAAAACGTGAAAAATCATCCACAAAAATTACATAATAACGATAGCCACTAACAGAAAAGCAAGGAGAGCTCCATACATCGGAATGAATTAAATCTAAATAATAGTTTGATTTAGAGTGACTAACAGGAAATGGCAAACTAGCATGTTTTGAAGCTACGCAAGAGGGACAATAAAATTGCCTTTCATTATTTCTACTAAAGGAAATAAATTTACTAGAAAGCAAGAAATTTAGAACAGCAATTCCAGGATGACCTAGTCGGGCATGCCAAGTGTCAATTGATTCACGAGATGCGAAGAGGACGGACGAGGATGCGAATCTGGAAGGGGATGGACTGAACTTTGATGAAGAAATCACCAGGGGATAAATAGGACTATCACTGGGGCATGTGAGAAGTAGTCTCTCAGTCTTCAAATCCTTCACAAAGAAACCCCAAGAGTGAAACTCAATAAAACAGTCATTATCTTTTGTAAACTTTTTAATAGATAGAAGATTCTTATGCAAGGAAGGAACATGTAAAATAGAGTTTAAATGAAATGTTCGATTAGGAGAAACAATTGTTGAACAACCGATAGAAGAGACAGGTATAGTACTACCATCGCCAAGAAAAATAGAGTGAGAATTAGAAGGCATAGAGGGTGATTTTATCTTACCCTGATCATAAGTCATGTGGGAGCTAGCACCACTATCCATATAGCAAGCCCGGTCTGGTGAATATTGAAGAGAAAAACCTGCAAATTGTCGTGAAAAATCTGAAGATGTATATGAATAATTGTGACGATGAGGACAATCCAACGCCACGTGACCAAATTTTTTACAGATTTGACATTGTGTCTGGGCTTGTGTGGGATTAGGATGAACAAAGGAAGGGATAACAGAGGTTTGAGAGGGTGGAGGTCCAAGTAATCCACGAACAGATGTTGGACAAGGCATGAAAGACGGAGAACCTGTAGAATTACTAACTGGTGCACTATATCCTCGACCAAAATTAGAGAACCTACCACCACAACCTCGACCACGATTCTGCCAACGACCACCATTACGTCCCCCGCGACCTGATCGTCCATTACCACGAGAAAAGGATGGAATGACCGAAGAAACTTTAGCTTTTGGTATATTGGTTGCAACAAGAGCGGTTGATGATGAAGAAGCTGGGACACCATGAAGCTGTTCAAGACGTGTTTCCTATGTTAGAAGTCGACTCCAGAGTTCTGTAAATGATGGAGGGGGTATTTGATTAGAAGACATGGTGACAAAGGATTCATATGATGGTGGCAACCCATTCAAGGCATAAAGCAGAAGCTCGGAATCAGTTAGAACACGATCAATAGCTTGAAGAGAATCAGCTAACTCCTTTATTTTACCCATATATGCATCAATAGATAGATCACCCTTTTTGAGAGATTGAAGCTGGTATTTGATTTGCATCTCGCGTGCAGTAGTAATGTTAACAAAATGACTTTTCAGAATAGCCCATGCTGCGTGAGCAGAATCTGCAGCATAGAGGAGAGGAAGAAGATCATGTGATACTTGCATTGATCCAAGTCATTATAAGACGATCTAGTCGGTGCCATTTCGAATACTCGAGATTGGAATATTGTTTCCAGTTGAATCAGTTATTATAGACGGAGGGGCAGTGCTAGAACCATCAATGTGATGCTGAAGCTCATAGATATCAAGAACAGGAAGAAAAAGGTGACTCCATTTCATGTAGTTGGAATTGTCAAGGCAAACAGGAACCAAGTCTTTGATATGTACTGAGTAAGGGTTGTTGGGAGGTTGAGCAGCCATGAGTAGAAAAACCAGAATAAATATTGAATTAGACTTGGTGATAAAAGACAAATATGGAGAATAAAGAGACAATGGAAGTGATCGGGAAGATGGATCTCAGAGAGGATCTTGAAGGCTATCTGATACTATGTTGAGAAATAACCTTCGCACCTTTGCGCTTTGTTGTATTGCTATTGATAAGATGATACACAGTACAAGTTATAATCAAACTCTTCAATGAGATAACAATAAGACTCCTACTCTCTATCTAATTGTTGTTAGATACACTCCTATCCAAACCAAACTATAATACATTAACAAAGACAATATTAGTAACACCACCGAAATAATATGAAACAAATATGACAAATAGGAACAACATGAAATCAAAAAGAATGATACAAAGCAAAGCAAAATCAAAATAGTATCCTTACCAAACTAGTCTCACAAGGTTATGGTATAAGACAATACTCGACTACCTCCTAACCTACAACCCTAATACTCGACCTCCACATGTTCCTATCAAGTGCCATGTCCTCAAAAATCTGCAACCTCGCCATATCCTGCCTAATCACCCCCTCAATACTTCTTAGGTTGTCTTTTACCTCTTCTCGTTCCCTCCACAACCAGTCATTCGCACCTCCTTACCAGAGCATCTGGGCTTCTCCTCTGAACATGTCTGAACCATCTGAACCTTGCTTCCCGCATCTTATCATCAATGAGAGCCACATATACCTTCTCCCGAATATCATCATTCCTAATCTTATACATCCTAGTATGCCCACACATCCACCTCAACATCCTCATTTCTGTTACTTTCATCCTCTGGATATGTGATTTCTTAACCGGTCAACACTCAGCCCCATACATCATGGCCGACCTAACCGCCGCTTTATAGAACTTACCTTTGAGTATCAATGACACTCTTTTGTCACACAATACTCCAGATGCTAATCTCCACTTCATCCATTCTACCCCAATGCGGTGTGTAACCTCGTCGATCTCCCCTCCCCCCTGGATAACCGACCCAAGGTACATGAAGCTGCCTCTACTCGGGATGACCTGTGATTCAAGCCTCACATCCACGCCCACTTCCCTCTGCTCAGCATTGAACTTACATTCCAGGTATTCCGTCTTTGTCCTGCTAAGCTTGAAACCCTTAGATTCAAGAGTCTGTCTCCAAACCTCCAGCCTCTCGTTAACACCGGTTCGCGACTCATCAATCAGAACTATGTCATCGGCGAATAACATGCACCATGGCACATCCCCTTGAATGTGATGTGTCAATGCGTCCATCACCAAGGCGAATAGGAATGGACTGAGCGCAGAGCCTTGGTGTAACCCCATAACAACCGGAAAATCCTCAGAGTCACCCCATAAACAAATCAAAGAATAAGTATTTTTTAAAATAAATATTTGATAACTTCTCTTATGGTTCAATCTGGGGAGAAATTAAAAAATAGCCAGATTTACAAGTGGTCATTTAAAAATAGCCACAGTTTCAAAAGTAATCGAAATTTAAGATAAATTTGAACGAAAACACTATTCAAAATCCGGAAAAATACTCCAGTATAATATACTGGAGTTCCAGCATAAGTATATTGGAACTCCAATATAAATATACTGGAGTTCCTGTATAATATACCGGTCCAACATAATATACTAGAGATTGGACTGAAACTTTCTGCGTGTTGGAGTTCCAGCCTAATATGCTAGAAGTTCATACACAAGTACACCGATCTCCAGTATATTATGCTGAAACTTTCCGTGTTGCAGCAAAATAGTGGCTATTTTTCAATGACTTTGCAAACGTTGACTATTTTGAATGGCCAGTCCGAAAACTGACTAGCTCGTGCTATTTTTCCGGCAATCTGGACGACATATATGACCCAAATCAACGCAAAAACTTTTAGGTGAACAATTTGAATTACGCCTAAAAGGACTGACACTTGAATATATAACCAACCCCACCTGCTAAGGTCTAGACAAGTTAGAAGAGTTATATATTGTGGGCTAAATTTTACACCCCCACCTTCAATCTTCAATTTCTTTTCCACCTTCAATTGAACTTAACTTAAATTGAGCAACTCTTTTTGATTTTTTATCAATATTACCTTTAGTATAAAGTACTCATAGTTTCTAAATCTATAAGAGTTATAACTTTAATAATCATTAATAAGAATTATTTAGTAAAATAACCCCTTAATAAATGATTTCTGAAGGAGAAATGCAAGTATGAGTGACAATGACACCAGATAGCCACTTTTAAGCAATTTGTTTAAAATATATCCACAATTTATAATTTATTTAAAGGTTACCCAATTTCGCTCAAACTTCAATACACAGAGTCCTAGAGTTTAAACCTCAAGATTCAAACTTCAGGCATCGTGTCCTAAAGTTCAAAAATTATGTTATGAAATTCGAATTTTATGTCTTGAATTTTAAATTAGTAGTTCAGAATTTCAAGATATAATTGCAAATTAGCAGTTCAAAATTCAGGACACTAAGTCTAATTTATGGTGAATATGCTAATCTTTAAATACATTGAAAATTATGGATATATTTTCAATAACAGACTTAAAAGTGGCTATTGCTGTACTTTGTCCGTAAAAAATCAAAAGTTTTACCCCTTGTTAAACTTGAAATTTTATCCATATGTATACCAAAGGTAAAAAATTCAAGACCATCTCCTTTTAAGATCATTCGTGTCACTGACCCTAATATAAGAGCACACTGGCCCAGTCCATTCTCCTAACTCGAGTTCTAATAACTCTTCACTTCCCCACATTAACTATCTCTTTTTGTTTCTTTCCGGAGGCAATTTCCAACTGTAGACATGTGATTTTTGATCCACCCCAAGATTTTTTATATTTTAGCATGTAAATATTTAGTTTAGGCTTAATATCGCTATTTCAACTAGTTTTAACTATTTTATGGTATTTTATAACAAAATAAAAAATTACAAAATATTTTACCTAGTTACTTCTAATTCATGTACCTTTCATATATTTAAAAAAACAAAGATAATACCTTATTTTCATCTTTATAATATCTTGAAAATACAGAAAATAAAATAAAAATAGTTTCATGTTTTAATATAGTTTAGTTTAATTAATTAGGATTAGTTTTTGCATTGTGTAGTATTTTTATCTTATATTAAAAGGAGTCAATTAAGGTGTTGAACCACCATTTTAGGAGTCTTAGAGCCCAATTTTTGGCCCAATTCGGATTAGTTCATCAAACCCAATATCGAATACCCATTAATCTAACCCTAGGGACCCTTTTAGACTCTTCTTGGGAACAAAATAAAAGAAAACCCTAAGACCTAGGATTAAAAGAAGTCGTGAATACACTTTTATGGACATCTGTTTTTGACAAGGAAAAATCTGAAAAAGCAGCGCCGCAATACACAATAAACGACCCCCCCGGGCAATTGATCTTCTTCGTGAGAGGAGAGGCAACCATTTCCATGGCTTCTTCTGAAGCTTGAACACACAATACAAAGAAAAGCCTCAGCCGTTTTTAGGATCTCAACCCCAACCTAGACTTCTCTTCTTCTTCACATCTCAGTCGCGACAAGAACACACCCAAAACACCCATTTTCTAGCCGTCCCTGCTTCTGCAACTCACAACCAACGACCCCTTCTTCCTCTTCTACACATCCTAGAACACAAGAGAACCAGTAGGCATGCACACACCGGGAGAAAGAAACGGACGCGAAAGACCACTGCCACTGTTCTTCTTTGCCATCTGCCGAAGTTCATCGCCGGCGACGGCCGGCGTCAATTCTTTATTCCTCCCTTTCTTTGTTTCTCATTTGTCGCTGCAAGTTTAACATGTTGGCGTTCGACCAGTGGTAAAATACTGTCGAAGCAACTATTTCAGTTTCTACCGAGGTTCGCAGCACTACGAGAACTCTGGCGAATTTTGAGGTCTGGTCGTAGTTCCGTCGAGGGTCAGTAAATTTTCCAGTCGAGGTCAGTGTCGAGTCTCAGATTCATGTAAGGTTTCATTTTTGGCCTCACCCTTGATTGATATAGAACTTCTGAATTTTGTAATGCATGTTGAAAGAAGTAATGTTGTTAATGAGCATTTGTATATATGTGTTTGACAAATTTGAGTTGATCTGCTTCATTTTCATGAACGTTTGTTTTATAATAACGTGTATCATCAGTAGTATATGCCTTAACTACTGATATTTGGTTGTTTCTATGAATTAACTCTCATTGTGCGGAATCAGAATAAGTATATGCCTTAACAACTAATTTGAGACGAAGGTTTAATGTTTAAAACATGTAAGAGTGATAAATAGACTATAAAAGATAACGACAAGACTATTCTGTTTGGATTAAATCACATTAGTTTGGAGTTGTGTCATAGTTTAATTACATATAGGTCTAATAGGTAGAAACACCATTTATGATAAATTAATAACATCAAAATAATGTTCGTAGATTGCTTTAGGTGCGATTTAATCTATAACCAAGATTGTGTACACGTTCGCGTGACATAATTACGATTTTGAAAACAAAATCGGAGTATGCGTTCGCGCAACTTCGGCTAAAACTTTCTTAATAATAAAGTGTTATTAATTGTGGATACGTTTGCGTGACATAATTTTTTACGCGCTGAACAAATGGGTACATGTGCGCGTGACCTGTTTAAAGATATTTTCCTAATTAAAAGGGGTGAAAGCACATAGGTTCCAAAACGAGTAATTAGACAATTTAATAAGCCAAGTATGATCAAAGCGACCGTGCTAGAACCATGGAACCCGGGAATGACTAACACCTTCTCCCAGATTAACAGAATTTCTTACCGGATTTCTGTGTTTGCAGACCGTAAATAGAGTCAAACTTCCTCGATTCGGGATTTTAAACCGGTGACTTGGGACACCATAAATTATCCCAAGTGGCGATTCTGATTTTAATTTAAATAATCATGTTTCGATTGTCACTTAAATTGGAAAAAACTCCCTTATATCCTTCTGGTGGTAGTAAAAAGGAGGTGTGACAGCTCTG